CTGAGTTACTAGACTTTCTTTGTTCCGAAATGCTCTAAGTTAATGTTTTTCTTTACTATTTTCTTTTCTTTTTTCTTTTTTCTTTTTCTTTTTCTTTTCTTTTTTTTTTTTTTTGTGACAGTGTTTCTCTGTGTAGCTTTGCGCCTTTCCTGGATCTCACTCTGTAGACCAGGCTGGCCTCGAACTCACAAAGATCCACCTGCCTCTGCCTCCCGAGTGCTGGGATTAAAGGCGTGTGCCACCACCACCCGGCATTTCTTTACTATTTTCTAAGTTTTGTAACTGTTCAATATTTCACTGTCAAATATATAAAATGAACATGCTAACATTCTTTATTGTATATATTAAATATTAAAAGATGTTTAAAGAGCTACAGACACAACTCAGAGATAGAGTGTTTGCCTGGCATATACATAAAAAGCATATATATATATATAATTACAAACTTTTAAAAATGACTACATACGTAAAAGATGTTCAGTCTTGATATAGAAATACTCCAAATAAAAATTTTTAGGTCAACAGTAAGTCAAATATGCAATAGAACATGCCATATAGCTAGTTGTTCCTAAGACTACTCAAGGCAGGTCGGTATAAGCATAGTCTATGATAGCTCTACAGCAGCAAAATCTAATAACACACTTTTAAAATTGTAATCCTGTTATTGGGTGATAAACAATTCTAATTAACATGTGATAACCAATTTTTATTATTTCTATTACTATGTTTTTTTTTAGACCTACAATTATCCTTAATATCTCTCAGTTATCCTTACAGACTTCTGATATTGGTTATTATTTTGAAATTTTTTTCTAGTCTCAAAATGGATCCTTGTTTGGCATTTTGACTAAGATCAAGTGTAGTATCTAATCTCAAATTGTATTTCAAAAAATTAAAATAGCATCTTTATTTGTGTTTTTTAATTATTGGATACACGTGGATGTCACTTTTCATATGGGGATTATTCTATGTGTATACTTAAGGAGATTGGAAAAGTTTTCTCTCCTTTGATTTTTGTTTTAAATCTGTGATACATCATATTACCCAAACTGAATTTTCATTATTTCTGCTTTGCTTTTCCAGTCTAGCAAGGACTGTATATCTAATTGTGCTGATTTTTGTAGCCATATTAATAACTGCTGCCACCATGTTCTCATTTCTCTTTTATTTTAAAATTTCTTTGACTATTCTCATTTGTGACTACTCCCATATAAACTTTAAGGCTTATGTTTAAGCATCAGCGTTCAAACCTCTAAAAATATTCAAATTTTTTGAGGTTGCATTGAATTTGTAACTCATCTAGGAAAAGGCTGTGTGCTTCTCTTTCTATTTGTAATGGAATCCATTTAGGATATATAGCTGAGTTTTAAAATACTATAGATGTCTTAATAAGTATCTATATTTATAGAGTTCATAAATCTCCTAGATTTCCTCCCAGGTATTCCACTGTATTTGTTTGTGTATAAAATTTACATTTGTCCATAATTTTCAAGCTCAGTCATTAAGTTTCCAATTTACAGAAAACTATTAGTTATTTTGATAACACATTCTACTTAATATTTAATCCTTTCATACAGAGAAAAAATATACATTATGCTGATTTTTGTTTAAATGAAAATAGTACATGCATATTATTCTAGCAAAGGCCATTCAGTTGAGAATGGATAATCTTTGATTTATCCTAGTAATTGATCAAATTTTATCACCACTTTAGTCTTTGAAATAAAAACAGCTTTACACATCATTGCTTGATATTGATGTCTTCTAAGTCTATAGGTGGTGATATGTAAGTCTGAATTTAAACATATTCATTTCATATCTACATTTCATTGTCATTTGAATGTGTGAGAAATCCCAAAGTACATTAACTGTGAGCACTGTGAACTTAAAATTTTGCTCTCTTTTCTCATTTCTGTTCTTTGTTTGCTTTAGACTTTGTTGTTTTCTGCTTTGTTATCTCTTCTTTGTTATTGTGATTGTGTCTATCAGAACTTACTTGAAAGACTACATTTTGGTAATTTTAGCTATTGTTATATTCATCTTTTGCTTGAGGGACCAGAAATGAATGAGAGTACACAAATGGGTCAATTAAGATATATTGTCTCAGGACACTTTGTCATAGAAAGTTATGAATTTTTCCCATGTCAAGCTCCTGCAACTACTAGTTTAGCTTAGACTGAGAACAAATGTTGAGGCTATAAGTGAATGAATACTGTACATGGATCTTTGTTTGGTTGCTTCCTGTTTATAGCCATGCGATTTCACCCATAAAATCAGGGTTACCTATGTTTTCTACTTCTATATCTCTTTACAGACCTCATGATACCTACGGGAATTCTAGTTTTCCTAGATAAAAGAGGTCCAAAAATGAGACTGTTATATTTTTATATATATATATATATATATATATATATATATATATATATATATATATATATATATATATGGAGAGAAAGATAGAGAGAGACCCCTCACTTTATCGGATGTTAATGGATTTTTTAAACTTGATGTTATAAAGCAACACTGATATGTAAAATCTAATTTAACTGGCAGGAGAGGTAGTTTATTGGTTAAGAGTACTAGCTACTCTCCCAGAAAACTTGGGTTCTATTTCCAGTTTTCACAGCCACCTGTAACTCCAGGTCTAGGAAATCCAGTGCCATCTTCCAGGTTCCAAGAAATACCAACATGTGGTTGATGCAAATTCATACAGGCAGCCAAACAACCCATACACATAAAAAGTAAAACTACCTGGGCAGTGGTGGCACATGTCTTTAATCACAGCACTTAAGAGGCAGAGACAGGCAGATCTCTGTCAGTTTGAGGCCAGCCTGGTCTACAGAGCGAGATCTAAGACAGGCACCAAAACTACACAGAGAAATCCTACCTCAAAAAAAAAAAAATAAAAATAAAAAACAAAAGTAAAACTATACAAATTATAATTCAACACTGTGTCTATGTGTTAGCTTATCTCCATTTTTGTATACCCTAGAACCTATATCCCCTCCAATAATCTCTAGTTCTATAAATAACATGTCATTATTTTCCTAAAAATGTTGCAAAATAGAGGAAATTTTATTTAAATCTCAAGTGGCATGTAATTTTGACAGCATTAAACATATATATTATTAAACATATTAAACACTGTTAGACATATAAAATATATGTATCATATAGTCTTTTATCATATCATTGAGAACTGTAGATTAATAAGTTTGCTCTTGCTGTGATGAAATATCTGAAATTACAAACTTAAAAGAAGGGAATTTTAATCTTGGTTTAAAGTTCCAAAGAGTACATTTCATAGTCTTCTGACCTTATTGTTTGTGACTGTAGTGAAGTCCATCAAGGTCATGAGCAAGGAGGATCAGGAGGCAGAATAAATCTGGAATCAAATATTTAACCTCCTCCCAGGAATCAATTTTGAAGCTTCACCACCTTCAAAAAACTCTTAAGACATGGATATTTGAAGATCAATTCAAATCCAAACTGTACCACAACTCTAACTTTTCCACCCAGAAAATTAAAGTCTTTACTTGTGAGTTTATGTTTCTATTCCTGTGTTAAATCCACTTCCTCCACCTGGTATACTCCTAATAAAACCTTTCTTACCAGGGGAAATGTAACAACAGAAGTAAAAGTGGCCAATATTGGAGATTGAGTGTGCTATAGGAGCTAAGGAAGATTCTTTTATCTATTTGAATCATTTCTTTTTTTCTGAGATTGTGATAAAATAACATCATTTCCCCTTTCCATTCCCTTTCCTCTCCAATCCTCCAACATACATCTCATTTACTTCCTTGTTCTCTTTCAAATTCATCACCTTTTTTTATTAGTGGTTATATTTCCATTAGTTTTATATAGATAGATAGATAATTAGACAGATAGATATAAATTAATGCAAGCTACTGCTTAGTCTATATGTTACTTGTTTCTATATTTTTATTACCACGTCTGACCAGTTAGTAATGAATAACCAATTACAGTGTTTCTTGCTATTCTTTAGTTGCCTGTAGTTCTTTGTTTAGAATTGAAGCCTTCTTGACTTTCTCTCATTCACTGTATCATGTATATTGTTGTTGTTCTTGATCAGCTCATGTTTAAGCAGTCCTATTGGTGAGACTTCATGGGTTTAGCTTCTGTTATTCCTAGAAGATAAAAATCTCAAAGAATATTTTCTAGTCTTCTAGCTCTTACAATTCTTTGGCAATGTTTTCTGAGTCTTAAATGTAGAGTTGTGTTGTAGATGTATCCATTGGGACTGAGCCTCACAATCATGTACTTTTATTGATTGTGATATTCTCTATTGGTTTTTGTTTGTTACAAAGAGAAGTTTCCTTAATGAGGATTGAGGACTAAACCCACGTGTAGGTATAAGGGTAAATACTTAGGATGTAGGTAAGTATTATACTTGTTCAGTAAAGTGGTGATTGTAGATTCTACTCCAAGATCCATGGCTTCACTAGCCCTGAGTAGGTGGCTATGCTTCTAATATCAGAAATCCTTTCCCTCATGTTGAATGAGTCTTAAATCTGATCAGAGAGCTGTTGTTTACTATAAAGGTATAGAAACCACTACTGCACCCTTAAAGATATTGTGCCATGCTGGCCATTGTTCGGTTTCACAGGTATAATAGATATCATAGCAGGACTCTTGGTACTCCCCCTCTAGAAGCTTGCATGATGCCTTCAAACTCCTCAGGAAGACATTCAGTTCAATTCCATCTCAGGGGCCTCTGAAGTCTATGTTTGAAGTGCATGGTATCTTCAGCAATAGGGATTTCTATTCCACATCTTGGAATAGAAATAGCCTGGGCAATAGAAATAGCCTGTAATGTTTCGGTAGTCTCTTGTACAACCCCAGCCAACAACTCAAAAGATGACTTCACATGCTTGGTATTGTGGTTTTTTGTTAGATGGTCTAAACTCTTAGGGGAAGTATTATCAGAAAAAAAATGGGTAATTTCCATTGAACTATATATAGAGTTAATAGGTTGACATAAAAATGTGGAATACTTTGTGCATTTGCAGGTTATCCCTACGCAAGGCCAAACTAATTTTCTCTGTATTATTTCAAGTTTAGAGTACATGCTGCCAAAGCAAGCATAGCTAATGAAGATATTTTAAATTTTATTTTAATTAATTATTTGGGAGCCTCATGTATGCCTTCAATGTATTTTGATCATAGTCATCCCCCACTTCTTCTCCAATTCTTACCAGCTCCACCTCTACCCACCACCCCTCCTAAGTTCCCTTGCCCCAATTTTTTTAAAGATAAAGAGACAATTTGTTTAACCAAATGCTTCTGGGTTTGAGGCCATCACTGGAGAGTAGTCTGTGGATTAATGTTTTTTTTTTTTGTTTTTTTTTTTTTTTTTTTTTTTTTTGAGAGTGGTGTCTATATGCAGCCTAGGAGGCATGGCACTCATTATGTAGTCAGGCTGCTCTTAAATTGGCAGCCTTTTGCTCCCTGTTCCCTAGTGCTGGGATCACAAGCCTGCACTGCCAATCCCAGCTCAACATTATTAATAAAGAAATGATAATATGCTAGATATAGAAGAAAGAAATTTTAGACATCAGAAGTTTGTGAAGCAGTTGCCTGAGAAAAGGTTCAACTTTATGGTTTTTTTTTTTTTTTTTTTTTTTTTTGGTTTTTCGAGACAGGGTTTCTCTGTGTAGCTTTGCGCCTCTCCTGGAACTCTCTTGGTAGCCCAGGCTGGCCTCAAACTCACAGAGATCCGCCTGGCTCTGCCTCCCGAGTGCTGGGATTAAAGGCGTGCGCCACCACCGCCCGGCCAACTTTATGTTTTAAAGGTAAATATTTATTGAATGGTTGTTTTTGAGAAACTATTCTTATCATATATTTTACAATTTCTTTGCTAATAGAAGTGCTAAGGATATCGTTAAACTCCTAGCAAAACTCATAATTAGTGAGATGATCCTTTTCTAGAAGACTAACATTATTTAAAAGGAGAATAAACAACTCCCTCACTCAATAATCAAGTACCAATTGAGCATCTACAAATGACTCTGATGTAATTTATATACATGAAGAATAACTACACATTGTTTCTGTTGCCAAGAATCTTACATGAGATATAACAAAGTATGGACATAGGTATGAAATTAATTATCATTTATGATAAATACTATGGAAGAAGAAAGTGAAGGCCTTTAGTTATCTTGGCTGCCACTGGAAGAAAGACATTATTTTCCATAAAGTTCTGTCATGATGAACAAGTTAATAAAATCCAAGGACAACAGGCACAGAGTTCTTCACTCCTTGTTACTGATAAGTGAAACCAAAGTACAGCTAGATAATCTAACACCAAAAATAATGAAATGTTGCATCACAAAATGGATTTTAATCTTTTGTTATACCTGGTTAAACTAATTTTTCATTTAAAAATTACATTTTACTTTACAGCTTCTTTATAGCGTTATTCCTCTGAGTAGTTATCATACTGATGGAATTCAAAGGACTGTATCAAACTCTGACTGAACAATAGAATAGTATATTCTTTATTACATTAAAGAACACACTATAGAAAAATCAAAGAGCCCTGTGAATAGTCAGCAGAACTTTTGGTTGAGGAAAAACTTCAAAATTCCCAATTGTTTAATGTCATAATGCTTTTGTGCCAGAACTGCAAAAGAAACCAATGTGCCACTACCCTTAAACAGCAGGTTGAGGGGTATGGATCATTTCTACTCATCATTTCTGTAATGACAGAAACACCTTCTTCTTAAGAACCCCTTTATTCACCAGATGTTTGGCAAGAGTCCATTAGTTTTCTCTCTGCTTAGTTAAAAAGAAAACCAATAGACTGATTTCCAAATTAATCAGTTTAGCTGATTTTTGATAGAGAAAGAAAAAGAGCATTTGGTCAGCCCTCAGGAGAGTAATTCCCAAATTTGCTCTTTCTACTATAGTGAGAAAACATCTCATGTAGCTGTTTCCCAGAGCAAAGAAATAAAAGATTAAAAGAATTCAGAAGAAAATTTAACTACTGTGAAGATGGGAAGGAAATGGCAAGAGTTTAGAGATCTAATGAAATATTATTGTCATTGAAAATACATTCTGGGAATCCATTCATTATCTTCCATTATTAAGTTTAGATGTGATTCAAATTACTAACATGTGATTAGGAATATACAGAATGTATATTAAGCAGATGATATCGGAAACTAGCTAGTACACAATAAGAAATATGAATAAATTTGAGTATAAAATTTTGTAAAATGCATAAAATTATTAACCAAATCATAAACGCGCACAGTTATATAGCATGTGCTGATCTTCTATAGAGCCTCCTCTGTCTTTGTGTGTGTCTGTCTTTCTGTTTCTCTCTGTGCCTTTTTGTCATCTGTCTGTCTGTCTTTCTCTCTGCAGTTTCGTCACTTTCTTTCTCACATGTACATTTTGAGAAAACATTATGCAGATCAAGAATATGTCTTTATTTATTTTAGGACAGCACCAAGTGGGTGGGAATGACAGTCATAGAAACAGCATATCCTGATGTCTTAGTGAAGTTTGAAATGTTTAAACACTTGAGATGTGAGGCTTCTCAGGATGAAACTGTAATTCACTTTGGCAGCTGACAGCTTGTTGGCAGTTCACACTTGGTAAGTGCACCTGACTCGTCATTCTATTTCCACAGCTCCCTACCTGCCACATTGCCAGTGGCCTTCCTTCACTTTCACAGAGAATGTCTATTTTCAAGTCTCATCCTCATGCAGATAGAAAGTGACTGAATGGTGAAAGGCCACATAATCAGTCTCTGTGATGATGCCAGGTCTCTACTCTAGGTATCAAACTATCATGAATGAAAAATATTGAGGGGGAACAAACAAAATCAGAAAATTTTCAAGTTTTTGTCTAACACTGAGTGGACATTGAAAAATCAGGTACTTGTTTAAAATACTTGGTTTTCTCAATTTTTTCTTAAAAATCTACTCTTCTACAATAAATACAATAAAGAAAAATATACAAAGATATATAAAGAAATAAGTATTCCTGATTCTTATCTGGCTATAATGTTAGACCTCCTATGTATTCTGAGAGCATTTTCACATGACCATGAGGAGAGACAAGCTCAAGAGAATCCCCCTATCCTTGAAATGACATTGCTAGCAAAGCTACACATAGTGCCTGTAAGTGTAAGCTAAATTATGAAGACTCATATAACACCAAGCAACAAAAGGCTTAGAGACAAAAGCAAATGTCAGATGTCCTTCGAGTCACACTAAAGAGAAGGGATTTGGTTCCTTCACAACACAGCCTGCAAAAGTTCTCAAACTTGGCTGATGCTATAGAAGGTAGCTTGAATAGTTGGGAGATATAAAATGACTACAGGTGCCAAAAAGAATGGTATATCCTGCACTTCAGAAAAGTTGAAAGATGTAGCAAGGATAAAGAAAGGACATTCCACATCAAATAAGCATTCCAGAGAGTTAATGTTGTGTGAACATACTTTTTCAACATTGGTAAATCCTGAAAACTATTCCTACAAATTACAAGGTGCCTGGCAATCATAAAATTAGAAGGGGAGGCTATAAATATTATTTCCATGTCATCAGTACATGTGTTCTTAAGTCTTCTTTATTTGCAGTAGAAACATCTCAACTGTTGTAAAGATACTGGTTGAAAACTTGTAAGAGTAGTGAATTGCTATTTCTATTATATTTAAGAAAATGAAAAAGTAAAATAAATTACTTGTTTAAGAAGCTATTGTTTGAAAAGTGAGTTTACAGTTTCTAAATCAAAAGTTAATGTCAAAATAGATAACTATGTTTGTCTTCAACATGCCAGGGAGTATTCACATTGTTATTTGAAGTAATCACTTCCTATCAGCGATATTTCAAGTATAAAATTTTCTTAAAGATATAAAGAATTTTCATAAAAATAGTAAGACATATTCGTCAATATTCACAGCAGAAATCTTTGGGATCTGTGATGGTTTTAATGTAGTATCTTCTATATTCTTTGGCAACTAAATACGTGGTCCCTGGTTGGTGGCACTGTTTTGTAAAGCTTAGGATCTATGGCTCTGCTGAAGGACATGTGTCACTGGGGGTGATTTTGGAGGTTTCCAAAGCCTCCCTCAACCCCCACTTTACTCTCTGTTTTCTGTTTGTAGTTCAGGATTTGAGCAGTTCCTGCTGCAATACCAGTTGCTTGCGCCAGGCTTCCCTCTAATGATAGTAGTAGATTCTTATCCCACTGAAGTGTAGATCCTCAGATAAACCTCTCCTTCTATAAGTTGCTCTGTTCATGGTGTTTTATCATAGCAATAAAATGTAACCAAAACAGAACTGACATTTTGTCAGTGTGGGAAAAAGACATTGCAGTGTTTTATAAACTAAATTATTAGCTCAGAGTTCAGTATTAAAAATGAAACATACAATGTCTCTATCAATAAATAATTCATCACTATCAAAAGTCATTTCATTAAAATTGAAACAGTGTATTATCAAAAGAACAATATCAAAAAGTATTTTCATTGTAAAGATTAAAAGCTGAGCTGAGAGAAGAGTTAATTTAGCTTGTTTCAGTACACAGAAAGAAATTCAAAACAAAAAGCTACACTTGTTTGAAAATAAAAGTCTAAGAATTACTTCAAGCAGGCAATAAAAATTACATAAAATTCCAGCTAAATGTTATTAACATTGAGAAAGGAGATGAAAGGAAAAATCAAGAATTCTAGAACAGATCGCAACTTGTCAGTTATTAAAAGATGAAGAGGAACAAGAAGACAGAAAACTTTCTAGGCACTTATTACTTACAAAACATAAGATATAGACATTTGAAAACCATTTATCACAGAGAGGTTTTAGGATGCACAGCACTCTCAGGATCTAAAAATATTTTCTTGTGGGATTAAATAGAATTATGCAGTTTTGTCCTTAATTCTTTTTTCAGATATCTACTTTTGCAGAAATTCTCAATGACAGGTATGGAAATAGATGTACACATATATGATGTATACAGAACACTGTAGTTACAAGTATTGAAATCATAAACAATAGTGGGAAAGGCATGGGATAAAATAGTACAGAAACACTAAGACATAAGAAAGATTTAACACAGAGGGAAATTTAAACTAT